GAGGTAGAGATAGAGGTAGAGATGGAGATTGAGGTAGAGATAGAGGTAGAGATAGAGGTAGAGATAGAGGTAGAGATGGAGATTGAGGTAGAGATAGAGGTAGAGATGGAGATTGAGGTAGAGATAGAGGTGGAGATAGAGGTAGAGATGGAGATTGAGGTAGAGATAGAGGTAGAGGTAGAGATAGAGATAGAGGTAGAGATGGAAATAGAGGTAGAGGTAGAGATAGAGGTAGAGATAGAGGTAGAGATAGAGATAGAGGTAGAGTTAGAGGCCGCCAAGCTGATGGAGATGCTGGAGGAGATCTCAGAGAGGTGCGTCTCCATCCGTCCGCCGTTAGCTAACGCTAACGGAGCTACTACTCTGCATAGTTTATGTTTATGTTTCTGCATTTGGCAGACGCTTTTATTCAAAGCGACTTACAGAGTAGACACAATATTCCATTTCTCATCACTATGACAATAAGCTATATAGAGCAGAAACACTGATCAGAGTCAGTGGTGAGATAGAGATAGAGATAGAGGTAGAGGTAGAGATAGAGGTAGAGATGGAGATTGAGGTGGAGATAGAGGTGGAGATAGAGGTAGAGATGGAGATTGAGGTAGAGATAGAGATAAAGGTAGAGATAGAGGTAGAGATAGAGATAAGGTAGAGATTAGAGATAGAGGTGGAGATAGAGGTAGAGATAGAGGTAGTTGTTGTGATGTGGCGCTATATAAATAGTTTAAATGAATTGAATTAACGCTGACGGCGGTCCCTCCCCCGGCAGGAAGGGGGGGTTCTTCGTGGACCTGTTTGTTCGCGTTTCCAACCAGGTGGCGGTGAACATGTACAAGCGCCTGGGCTACAGCGTCTACAGGACGGTGATCGAGTATTACTCCGCCAGCAACGGGGAGCCGGACGAGGACGCCTACGGTACGAGTTCCCGGCCTATCAGAGCATGTGTTAAAGTCTAAAGTTATTTATCTACTTACTTAGCTGTCAGACTCATGTTGAACAGGGATTTGCTCACATTTTCCAGAAAAAAAAAATCAATTTAGCATATTTTATGGTAAATAAACTGTAAATTTAGCATGTTTTTTGGTTAAAAAAAATTAAATTTAGCAAATTTTAGGGTAAAAACTGTAAATATTGTACAATGTAGGTTAAAAAAAATATTTACTCCCGGCCCATCAGAGCATGTGTTCAAGTTTAAAGTTATTTATCTACTTACTTAGTTGTCAGACTCATGTTGAACAGGGATT